GCGGCCCCCCGCCCCATCCGAAGCAGAGCCGAGGGGGACACCGCACGCCGCGCCGGTGGCCGCGGACGCGGACGCGGCGCCCGGCCCGGCTTTGAGCTCGGGACCGTCTTGGGAACGCGGGCGACTCAGACGCCACTCCGGAAGGGATGTTGCAGATGCAGACGCGGGCCCCGGTGCCCCAGTCCCGGGGGGCTGCGGGGTGGTGGGCGGACAGACCGGCGCGGTGATTCCAGCCCTGCGCGCAAGGCTCGAACGCGGTTATCAGGGGCGGGGCTGGGAGCCCTCGGCCTGGGCGCAGGGGAGGGGAGGGCACCGCCTCGCCTCTCTCCAGGACTCAGAATTCTTGGAAAAGTCGGAGGGAAGTGGAGTGGGAGGCAGTAGGTAGGGGAAAGAGAAATGGCTCAGGGCTCTGACGCCGGGATAGGAATGCAGAGTTTAAGAAACTGTCCGGGCGCGGTGGATCACGCTGCAGTCCCAGCACTTTGGGAGACCGAGATGGAAGGATTGCTTGAGCCCAGCTGTTCGAGACCAGCCTGGGCAACATAGCAAGACCCCATCTCTCCAAAATAAAAATTAAAAAAAATTAGCCGGTTGCGGTGGAGCCCGCCGGTAGTCCCAGCTACTCAGGAGGCTGAGGCAGGAGGACTGCCTGAGCTCAGGAGGCCAAGGCTGCAGTGAGCTGTGATTATGCACTGCATTCCAGCCTGAGCCACAGGGTGAGACCCTGGTAAAAGGGAGGAAGGAAGGAAAGAAACTAGAATATATTCCAACTCTTGCCCTCACAGCCCAGCGTCTCCCCAGGGCAAGTCAATGTCAAAACCCAGACAAAAGCCGGGCTCGGTGGCTCAGCCTGTAATCCCACGCCTTTGGGAGGCTGAGGTGAGTGGATTGCCCAAGCCCGCAGGTTCGAGACCCACCTGGGCAACTTGGCGAGGCCTCATCTCTACAATAAAATCAAAAAAATCAGTCGGGCGTGATAGTACATGCCTGAAGTTCCAGCTACTTGGAAAGCTGAGGGGGAAGGATCGCCGGAGCCCAGCAGGTCGAGGCCGTAGCAGCCACTGCACTCCAGTCTGGGCGACAGAGTGAGACTCCAACTCAAAAAAAAAAAAAAAACCCAGACAAAAAGTAGGATTCCCACCCACCTCCGCCAAGGTCCCCCTCTTTTCCTCTTCACGCCTCCTTTTTTGCTTTTTCTCCCTCCTTTTTCTTTTTAGTTATTTATTTAGAATATTTTAGCTGAGCATTTTTTTTTCTGGAATATTGTTTGCCGCCCAAATAACTGACACCACCTTTCTTATTTTTCACACCTACAAGTAATCAGAGGATTTGTAAACAATGACACATGAAACACCAAGGCTCTGGGATGTGTGAAGTTTGCTTTGGATGTTTGTTAAGTGGAAAAACGAGGGTGTGTGGGTGGTTGAAAGCATCAATGAATTCACACTAAAAGGAAAAAAAATAGATTTCAACCCAACAGAAGTTCTGTTACGTAATACAAAGGAAAGAGTGATATCCTGTATTTTAATTGATGTCTTCAAATTATATGAGTAATTGAAGCCACAAGTAGAATCTTGGGGCTCTGAATTATTCAGATTAATCCCATACCCAGGCTAAACCGCGACTGTGTAATCATTATCAGATATGCCCCTGGTTTGTGCTGGGTAGATAAAACACCATGTTGGCTCTCCGGGATTGTCAAGCCTCCTGGCCTGGGCAGCATTTGACTCCAGTGTTTAAACAACGGACAGTCCTGTTTTATCTGTGTGCTCTGGCATTGCTGAGTCAGAACTATCTGGAATCCTTCTGGAGGTTGACCCTTGGGCTTCTTCTACTTTCTGGAGCTTACCTGCTGCCAGGAGCCACCTCTCTCCTCTGCGTCATGAAATCAGAAGCAAGCAGCATCTACCCTGGGATTTGAGCCTAACTGGGGCCTGTCCTACTCACTGGTGTCTTCTCTGGCCTCCCTGGGTGATGTTAGCCTGCCCAGCTCCTGGAGACCAGTAGATGCTTCTAGGCTTCATTGAACTTGGTGATAATGATTTGATTCTTCAATTCTTAGATACACTGAACCAATTGCACCCGCTAATGCCTTTCCTGGTCCGCCTGGGTCTGTCTCTGTCTCTGTCTCTGTCCCTCCCACTTTTCCACCCTTTTATATAATTTAGCAAATATTGAAGAACAGATAACTTTATATGAATAAAAGAGCTAGATCATGAACTTCACAGGCTATTGGAAATCTAGGTTCTGGCTCTGCTTTTTTTTTTTTTTTTTTTTGAGTTGGAGTCTCACTCTTTCACTCAGACTGGAGTGCAGTGGCTGCCCCCGGCCACCGCAGCCTCCACCTGCTGGACTCCAGTGATCCTTCTGCCTCTGCCTTCCGAGTAGCTGGAACTACAAGCCCGCGCTACCACGCCCAGCTATGCTTTTTTTTTCTTTAAGAGAAAAAGTCTTCTCAGGTCAACCACAGTTACAGTGCACAATTTACCATTTCTAGGGGAAAAAAAGAGACAAAGTTTTGCTATGTTGCCCAGGCTGGTCTCGAACTTCTGGTCTCAAGCAATCCTCTCGCCTTGACCTCCCAAAGCGTTGGAATGACAGGCATGAGTCACTGCACCCGGCCATCTGCTATCTCTTTAACCTGAGTTATTTACAAGTCTGTTTAGAAGTTTCCAGACATATGTTGGTTTGTTCTCTATTTGCTTATAGTTTTGTTTTTCATTCCCAGTTTGTTTGCATTGCGGTGAGTGCAGCTAGTTTGTGTTTATTATTTTTGGGTGGGGAGATGTGTTATATTTGCTTTGCAGCTAAGCCTACAGTCAGTTTTTGTGAGCCTGTGTTCTGTGCTGAGAATGTAGTTCTAAGTATTTCTATTGGGTCAAGCTATTGTGCTAACTCAAATACTCTTGGTCCTTATTTTTTTGACTGCTTAATATGTTGGTTTCCAAGAGAGGTGTGCTGAAGCCTTTCACTGTAAATCTTTGGTCAATTTCTCCTTAGGCTTTAACAGATTTTGCCTTATATATGTTGAATCTCTGTTAGATGCTAGTGACTATTTTATCTTCTTGTTGTTGTGTTTCTTTTGATATACTTCTTTCTTAGTTTCTTTTCATCTTTACTTCAACGTTGTCTGATTTTAATGTTGTATGTGACTATTTTCTTTTCTTTTCTTTTCTTTTCTTTTTGAGTCAGTCTTACTCTGTTGCCCAGGCCAGCGTTGCAGTGGCTCACTTATGGCCACCGCAGCATCGATCTGCTGGGCTTAGGCTGAAGATCCTTCTGTCTCATTTTTCCAAGTAGCTGGAACTACCGGCACGCGCCACCACGCCCGGCTACTTTTATGATTTATTGTAGAGACGAGGTCCTGCCACGTTGCTCAGGCTGGTCTTGAACTCCTGAGCTTAGGCAATCCTCTCGCCTCGGCCTCCCAAAGTGCTGGGATTGCAGGCGCAAGCCCGGCTTGTGTTAAGATTTTCCGGGTAGGGTAAATTGATGGAAGAGATGCCACCATAACTCCTTCCCTCCCCAAATCGGTGTCCTTGCAATGTGACTTTGCCCTCTTCCATCAAGAGACGGAGTCCATTCCCACATCTGCTAAGTCATGGCTGAAACAGTGACGTGCTTGGAGTATGAAACCGGTGTGGGACATCTGGGCCTCGACATCACCCGGGCTTGCAGCTGCTGATCTCATGGCCCGGAGCGCTGCCACCACCATATGCTGACTCCTGGGCTGGCGTCCTTGAGGATGACAGCCTTATGGGGTGGGCACGAGCCTGGCTGGCAGCTGGCATCAGCTGTGTAAGACTGTCTTAGATGACTGGAGTCATGTGAGTCACCAGGCAGACCAGCAGAAACCTGCCCGGCTGGCTTGGGTACTTTAAGCCATTACATTTTGGGGGTGGTCTGTTATCCAGCAATAGATAGCAGAGACAATGGGTGTATGTTTTTCCATAACCTGTTTGTTATTTTGTTTTAGAGACACTCTAAATGGCATCTAGTTGGAGTTTTTTTTTTTTTTTTTTGGCCAGTTCTCACTCTGTCACCCAGCCTGGAGTGCAGTGGCATCATGACCCCTCACCGTAGCCTCAGCCTCCTGGGTTCAAGCGATCCTCCCACTTCAGCCTCCCAAGTACAGGTGTGTGCCACCATGTCCAGCTAATTTTTTTTTTTTGTAGAGATGAGATCTTACCATGTTGCCTAGGCTAGTCTCAAACTTTGGAACCCAAGAAATCCTCCTGTCTTCACCTCCCAAAGTGTTGTACAAGTATGAGCCACTGTGTCCAATCCCCAACTGGAGCTTTTAAAAAATCTAATCTGAGCCTGTGTCAGGTAGTAGATGTATTCAGCCCTTTCATATTTATTTAATTATTGATACATTTGTACTTTTTCCTGACATCCAATTTTGGGTTTTCTTTTCTTTTCTTTCTTTTTTTTCGAGTTGGAGTCTCACTCTGTCGCCCAGACTGGAATGCAGTGG